CCAGGAATTTTAATACATAGTGCTAGCCTGCTAGGGGTCCTAATGGTATTAAATGCAATCAATTTGTAGGTCTATTTATTTTATTTACAACTTAGGTATCTAAATTATGAATGTGACTACCTTCTACAATACAATAACACTAAATAAATGTCAATAATCCAAATAATGAACAAAACAAAACATTTGAAACAGTTTTTTTTTAATTCCCCATTGGAAAATATTGTCCATGAAATTGATGATTGAACATTTTGAACACACATGACACTATTATGTCTTAATCATCAGCAGAATCCAATGTGACTATCATTTTTCATTTCTTTTGTTTTTATTATATATATATATTTATATATTAAATTTTAATTAATATTATTATTATTTTGTCACAGGGTAAGTGAGAGTAATTATCCCCTGTAAACATGGTAAAAAGCAAAACTGTCAGCCCTCAACTGCAAGTTTTTGGACACTGTGAGATCCATCAAATTCAGGGACCCAAATAATAAATTGAAGCCCATCAGGGGCAGAAGTGTCATTTCCACTATTCGTAGGAGTGAAGAAAATAGAAAATCATAAGACATGGGCTTGTGGCCCAATCAGAATTGGTCGGCTCCCCCACGATTTGTTTTCACACTTTGTCCCTAATTATTTAATTAAATTTGTTAATCTAAATTTAATCTCACTTTTTTTTTATTGTATCATATTTAATTGCACGTTCGCATTTTTTTTTTTTTTTTTTTTTTTATGATTGGGCTTGTAAGAAATTGCCTCTTGTACTGGAATTACTAATAGGATAAATTTCGGTCACCCTGCAATGTCAAATTACGAAAAATATTTATTATGTCAAATTTTATTCTACGTCATTCATAGCTATGTTAAATTTAGTGGAATCTTCTAAATTATGTGAAATATTTTCAACTTTGTACCTGTTTTACCCCATTCGAGCTCCACATTTTGAAACAAAGTAATCATAAGATGTGTCTCCTGGCTCGTAAATATCAGATTGTTGTGCATAAAAGAACTGCAATTTTGCACAAAACAAGTGCAAACTAGAGAACATTCCATGAAATATAGAAGATTATGTTGACATTTGACATCATAAGATAAAAAACGTAAGAAAATTTCATAGTTAAAAGGAGTAGTTATAATTACCCAAACATAAGGGTTTTTTTCGTAATTTAACTTTATTTATCTAAAAGGTAAATATATTCACCGGTGAAGGGCAAAAATGTCAGATAATTAATTTTTCAAAACGAGCCGTTTAATCGTTTCTTTATTTCAAAAGATAACACCATCCATTATTGTGAAATACGTTTGCAGGTATAATATTATTATTATTATTATGTAAACAAATGCAGAGATACATATATCTGAACAAAGTTAAAAGCAAAAGAAGAAAAATTACACGCAGATAAATATACATACATGTAGATACATATATATAATATATATATGATTATATATATACACACATTCATCATCATCATTGTCTGACGCTCCATTCCACTCTCTCAAGCAATCTCAACAAAATTCTCGGAGAAATTTAATTGCCGAACCAATTTTTTATTTTTATTTTTTATTTATGTTTTATGTTTTTTTTTTTCTTCAACTCTCAGATCTGCCCACATTTCATGTTCGATTGATTTTGATTCAGGTCTGAGGATATGGATTTCAGTTTTTCCATTTCAATGACTTCATTCCCGAAAATCTCAATTGAAATTTGCATTATTTTAACCTTTTTTTTCCGGTGATAATCATTTTAGGGGGAAAAAAATCGGCAAGAGAATCTGGATAATCGGTGGAAATTTTGAGAGATTCAATCGCGTCGGATTGCGGTTGATTTTGGCTTGCAGGAAGCGCGTTGATGTGTTGCGTCGATTTTAATTTTCATCATATTTGTATGTTTATCTGAATTTCTCCCCCCTTTTTTATTTTTGTCTGTGATTCATTGTTTGTTGCGGTGAGGAATTTATGTTAATCTGTTGGATTTTCGGTGTTGAAGTGTGGAAGAAGTAGATCTTAGAAAATTGGCTCCCCAAAAGAGAACGATGCGCCACGGGGGTGGCCAGATGCAACAGAGCGGCGGGGCTGCAGCCACCGCTCTGTACGAGAATGGTGGACCAGGGGTGTCCGGCGGAGATGCAGGGGATGCTGTTATGGCACGGTGGCTCCAGTCTGCCGGATTGCAGCATCTGGCCTCTCCAATGGCGTCCAATCCAGTGGATCACCGCATGCTCCCTAATCTCCTAATGCAGGTAATAGATTTAGGTCTTCTTCTTCAAATTGGAAATGGTTATTTATGCTTTAAGTCCATTTTCTCTCTCTTGAATTGGAAAATGGTTCAGTTATGCTATAAGTAGATTCTCGTTTTTATTTATTTCTGTGGGAAATATGGAATGTGAACTTACAGCATCATTTACATACCTTTGATTGGCAATAGTTGCACAGTGGCACTGTTTTTGCTTGAATTCTTGACAGGATGTTCGAAGAGTATGCAAACCTTTGTGATGCTAAAACAGAATTTTGACTTATTTTACTAGACACGTCTTTATAACTAAGATTTTGTGGAATTTTTACTTAGTAATGCACGCTGTTTATCCATATAACCATCACTTCTATCTTTTTAATGATGCTTACTGGATACTGTTTTTGTTCTATTTTTTCATGGGGAGGAAATATCAATGGAAAATGACTTGTTTTATTGATTTCTGTGTTCATGAAATTTTGAATTCGTGATTAATTGTGAGATTGTGATGATATATGAAGGGCTATGGACCACAGTCTGCAGAAGAGAAACAGAGACTTTTCAAATTAATGAGGAATCTCAACTTTAATGGTGAAACTGTGTCCGAGCCTTATACCCCAAGTGCCCAAAGTTCAGGTGCATTTGCTCCATCAGAGGGATTTTATTCTCCGGAATTCAGGGGGGATTTTGGAGCTGGACTTCTGGATCTACATTCTATGGATGACACAGAGCTCTTATCTGATGTATGCTTATTGAAAATTATATGCTTCTTGGTAAAACTCGAAAGGTCCTGGCTATTAATGAACAACTCGCTTTAATTTATTTCAGCATGTTATCTCAGAGCCATTTGAGCCATCACCTTTCATGCCTGCTGTGACTAAAGCCTTTGAAAGTGACATTGATGCGGTAACCAGCAGGCAGCAGAGAGGGCAACCAGATGTAGAAGCTGCTGCTGGATTACCTGCCAACGAGAAAGAAAACAGCACAAGAGAAAATAACGTTGCTAAGATTAAAGTTGTGGTATGAAAAGCCTCTGTTTAGTTTTTGATTACCTAGAATTGCATTCTACTTGATGCAAATTCTGTTTAAACCATGTACATACTTATAGAATGTGTATTTTTCTTCTGAGTTCAGGTTCGCAAGAGGCCTTTAAACAAGAAGGAAAATGCTCGCAAAGAGGATGATATAGTGACCGTGCATAATGATGCCTACTTAGCTGTCTATGAACCCAAATTAAAGGTCTTTAAATGTTTTTACATCTTGAAGTATTTAATGTTTTGCTTTTTATGTTGTCGATGTTGTCTACTTTGGGTCTGTATTTATCATCCTTTAATTTTCGGATGTTGGAACTCACATGTGAGAATCATTGTAAAGGTTGACCTGACTGCATATGTGGAGAAACACGAGTTCTGTTTTGATGCGGTTCTAGATGAGTATGTGACGAATGATGAGGTAATAATACCTTCCTTGGTTATAAGTTTATTTTAGGATTGTTTTGTTTAACATCGATGTATTGCTTTCAAGTTTATTCTTAGTCAACTGTGCAATAACAAAATAATTTTCCTGTTTCCTACTTTCTGTTTCATTAGCTAGTTCATTTTCCTTGTGTTTTCTTTTGTGATGCTGAGACCCAGGGGAGGCTGAGGTGGGGGACTAGGTGGGGATTTTGCTAACAGTTACCATTTAGGTTTATTTTCTCTCTAACATTCTTCTTGCATGTTTAATCAGGTATACCGTAACACTGTGGAACCAATTATACCCACTATTTTTCAACGTACCAAAGCGACATGTTTTGCATATGGTCAAACAGGTATGCATCTCTTTCTTTTCCTGATTGCATGTGATTGATTTATCGACTTATTGTGGCACAGTTTGCTGCCGTGCCTTGTATTTTAATGACATGCTTCAAGTTCAAGAGAGTGCGCACACCCACATCACTGTTTAGATCATAAAACAACTGAGGTTTCACTAATAAAAATGCATATATTAGTCTTGTATCATGTCCAGTAGTACAATTCATTTATATGACTTGTTCACCGAGAGAAAATTGTTTTATTTACTGATTTAGGAAATTCATACATAGGTCTTGTCTTTTGTTGTGATTGACTATCGTATGGTTGATTTTATGGAACCATTACTGTATATCTTTATCCTTTGGCATATCTGTTAGATGTTCGAAAGGATGCTGTCAAGTTGTTCACATATTCGATGACACCCCTTCAGTATTTATTTTATGATCATTTGTTGATACAATCGTTCTTGAATCTATCTTATTTCACTTTAAAGGTTTGTTGCTAGAGTTGCTATTTCGTATGCAGGTAGAAAATTAGGGCGCTTTTCATATTCTTAGAATGCATAACTGGATCTAGGGAACTGGTCTTAGATTTGACAATATTTGTTTCCAGAGATTTCAGGCTTCCAAAGTGGAATTTGGAAATTTTACACCAGGAGGTGATTTAGAACTATGTTTCTTTCCTATTTTGAACTGTCAATTACATGCAAGAAAAGGTGAAGGAGAATTTAGAATCATTCATTGGGCGTACTTTCAACACCTTCATCTGTAAACTATTCTGTAAGTTTGGGAGCTCGGTTGCGAACTCTGTCCTCTATGAAAAGAGAGAATATCCATACAGTTTTTCCCCATTAAGTATTTCTATGAGCACTTTAAATATTTCTCTTAGAAGCCATTTTGGTCAAGGACTAAATTGTCCTGTGCAGCTTATAGCTTTGAGAAACTGAACTGTGCAAATTTCTTTCTGTAGGTCTTGTTACGTATGTTCATCTCAGACTATGATTTAGATCCTATAAATTCTATTAGGTAATTTGATTACTTGTCCCCTTTTTTCCCCGTAGGAAGTGGCAAGACGTACACCATGCAGCCATTACCTCTGAGAGCAGCAGAAGACCTCGTTAGATTGCTGCATCAGCCAGTTTATCGCAATCAAAGATTCAAATTGTGGCTTAGCTATTTTGAGATATACGGGGGAAAGCTTTACGATCTTTTGAGCGACAGGAAGTTAATACTCTTTCTTGATTTCCTTTCACTTGTATTGATGGGACTTTCAAATTACTAAAACATCTGAATGTATGCAAAGCATTTTTTATCCTTTTAGGTTCAACAATCATGAAATTTATATGATGCTAGCATCCTCACACTAAACTTGAATTGGTTCAATGTTTTGGATATTTCTTGTGTAGGAAATTATGTATGAGAGAAGATGGTAGACAACAAGTTTGCATTGTCGGACTGCAGGAGTTTGAAGTCTTAGATGTGCATATCGTGAAGGAGTATATTGAGAGGGGAAACGCAGCTAGAAGTACCGGTTCTACTGGTGCTAATGAAGAGTCTTCAAGATCGCATGCCATTTTGCAACTGGTTGTGAAGAAACACAGTGAGGTGAAAGAATCTAGGAGGAATAACAATAATAATAATAATGATGTAAATGAATCCAGGAATGGGAAGGTCGTTGGCAAGATATCTTTTATTGATCTTGCTGGCAGTGAGAGAGGTGCCGACACCACAGATAATGATCGACAAACACGGTACTAGTTTCTGCTGTTACACACTAGATTATCCTTATCTGACATGAAAAAAAAAAAAGAAAACCAAGGGCTTGTTGATGGTTGGTATCAACCATAGGATATGGTACTGTTTCGATAATCAGATCTGATATTGCATCTAATATGTTTCTTTCTCCATTTGATATTCCTCTAAAGATTCTTCATTATCAATGGTGAAGGATCAAGTAAATGCATAAAATTGAATTTTCCTGTTTTAATTCCTACGTGGAACTAATTATACTTTTTTCACTCTCTCCCGTCTTTGCTACTCTTTTTAGCTGGCCATTTTTTTATATGTAATGATTTTGTTGATGCAGAATTGAGGGAGCAGAAATCAACAAAAGTCTATTGGCACTGAAGGAGTGTATTCGCGCTCTTGACAATGACCAGATTCACATCCCATTCCGTGGGAGCAAACTTACTGAGGTGCTTCGGGACTCCTTTGTTGGCAATTCAAGAACAGTGATGATTTCTTGTATTTCTCCGAATGCTGGTTCGTGTGAGCATACTCTCAATACTTTGAGATATGCTGATAGGTGGGATTTTCTTTTCTTCTATTCTTTTTCTTCCTCGAATAATTCCTTCTGCAGTTTTTGCATGGCTCAACTCAATCAATGGCTATTATTTAATCAGGGTTAAAAGTCTTTCGAAAAGTGGGAATCCGAAGAAGGATCAGGCTAGTTCATTGCCACCTTTTGTTAAAGATTCTTCATCAGCTCAAACTCTGCCTGTTACTACTGAGACAGAGGATGTTTATGATCAATATCAAGAACCTAAAGCAGTGGATACAAGTAGAAGGGACAAGGAAACTTCATCTTTCAATTTTTCTACCGATGACGAAAAACAACAACCCTCCGGTTTTTCTTCCAATTTCAACTTTAATGCCCGTGACGAAAGTGGCCCTGATGTTAAAAATGCTTACAAGGGTTCTACTAGTCAGAAGACATTAATACCATCAGTTGCGTATTCACACAGTGCAACTGATGTAGAAGAAAAGGTTCAGAAAGTCTCTCCACCTCGGCGGAAAGCTTACAGAGATGAGAGGCTCGAAAAGCCAGGACTTGGGCCAAGAAAAGAAACTGATTACTCGGAAATTCCATCCATTAGTTCTAAGCATCAACACGTAAATAATCCTAGCACACCTAAACATTATGAACCTGAGCCACCTCCTGACGGGAATATCAATGAGATACTTGAGGTTCGTTAATTCATTTTTAATTATCAAAAATACTTTTTTAAGGGCATGTCGATAATATGTATAATTTATTTTGTCTATGTAGGAAGAAGAGGCCCTCATTGCAGCTCACAGAAAGGAGATTGAAGATACTATGGAGATAGTTCGTGAAGTAATTTTTCCACCCCTCTATTTTCTCTTATTTCTCGTTCCTGTGCTGGAAATATCATTTATGTTTCAATCCACAGCGGATAATTTGAATTTAGCTAAAACAACTTTGAAAAAGTGAACTGTAAAATTACTAATTGAAGAAACATGGAAAATGTGACTTGATTTGCTTGCTTTTGCATACCAGGAAATGAAACTATTGTCAGAAGTGGATCAACCAGGAAGCCATATCGACAATTATGTAACGCAATTGAGTTTTGTGCTGTCACGCAAAGCAGCTAGTTTGGTAAGTTTACAAGCTCGCCTTGCAAGGTTCCAACATCGGCTGAAAGAGCAGGAAATACTGAGTCGAAAGAGGGTACCCCGCTAAAGAGCAAACACTTGCGAAAACCGATGCAACGATATTCTTGTTTTGCTGTACCGATTATAGCGTGTTACTTCTTTTACCGTCACGAAAGTCACCTGGTGAAAGTTTGTATTTGTGAAGGAAATGAAAAATGAATAGATTTAAAAAAGAAAGAAAGATAAGAACTGTGGAGGGAAAGTTTGTGCTTGTGGGACTAACCGATACTCGGATTGTGTTTTATAACAATGTAATTTGAACCGTATAGTGCTCTGCAACTATCGCACGTCTAATGCGAAATTATTTAAGTGCTGCAGCTTCAAAGCTCAATTTTATTGATTATATTGCATTCTCTGCTTTTGACAACTGAGTGTTTGAATGTTTTCCGAATCATTTGTAGATTCAATTTGTGTAACAAAACAGTGTCTGAATTATGTGAATGATGATCCGTTCTTGTTTATGTTTTGCTTTGCGTGATTATGACTCGTAAAATTGATCAATGGGCTTGGTTTTTAATGAGTTATTTCTACAATTATTAGCGAAAGGTCTTGTGCAGTTCAATCAGGCTTTATTAGCTCAGTATCTGCATAACAAAAAACGCAGTCGTGAAATCTGCGGAACCGTATACAATTCCAACATTCACGACTGGTAACCGAGTGCATGAAAAGTCTCTCATATGATAATACACAAAAAAATGACTAACAAATAAATCAAATCTTTCTTCCAATGATGAATTCACAACCTTTAATACTATCAACAGATCTTTCTTAGAAACAAAAAAGGTTCAAAAAAGGGAAAATGAAATCACCTATCTTGTTGCACTTCTTTTGAATTTCACAAGCAATATATCAGAACTACACTTGCAGAAGTTGACTGCGATTATAAAACTCCATCCCTTTTTCCTTTCGCACAAGAGGATGCATTTTTTTTATACGACAAAAACCCAATCTCAACAGTTCTGCCTTCAACCAATCAAGATCATAGTATGGCAAACGAATCAATCAGTCCTTATAATATCACTCGGCTCTCAATTTCAAGATCTCATTAGCTGTCCGCAGCCTAAAATATGGCATATGTTCCTTCAAAAAAATAGATAGACTTCAAAAACTCTTGTACGATGGAACATATGGGAAGAAAAATACAACATATACTATGAATTTTATTTTGTTCGTCTCTAACGGCCCAACATAAATAAACTACTAAATGAAGAAAAGTAAACATACGCCCAAACGCAAAAGTTCAAATACAAATATGGAAATCACACGAAATCATGTTAAGAAGATCATGCACTAGCACCTATTTAACCTTGCAGTACCATAAAAAATCACACACACACACCGAGCAAGGTGAACGCCACGAGCACACAGCTATACTAATATAAAATCTGAATAATAAGGCTTACTTGGCTAAAACGCAGTCCAATGTCTCTGCTATAGAAGTCAGCATATTTGATCATGAACATGCCACAGTCAAACCTGTAAAGAACTAAAATTTAATTTTCACAAGACTTATGACAACGATAGATTTTCACGAGCAAGTCATCAAACTGATACTAACATGGCTAAACATTATATTACATCAAATTCCTGTTTTTCTTTTCAGAATAATCTTTCAAGTAATGACATTTCCTAAGTCATAATCAGATAGTCGAACATGTTACCCATTTTCCTGCTCGGGAAGGTTCATGACAGCTTCGTGTTCCCATGAATCCACATCAATGCATTTTCCACACTTGTCCTTTATCTCATCAACGAAGTACCTCGCCTGCATTTCAGAATTAATGATGAAACCCCCCTTTCTTTTTTGCATGGATAATTTAATGTAGCACATGAAAATACACCCCTGATCTTCAGTAATAAATAAACAGAAATCTACAGATATTATTATTATTTTTTTTATTTACAGATATTAATTAAAATGAAAGAACCAAAAGAAATCTTCAATCAGCCTAATAAGAGTGCAACCATACCAGTACACTCGTAACTTGTGTGTCAACTCCTTTGAGTGAATCAAGATACTGAAACTTGTGATCCCTTTTGTTGATGACTGCTAAACACCAGTGAACTTCTTTGTGGATAGGCACAAAAATCTAAGGAACATGAGAAATATGGAATGAGATAAATTATACAACTCAAAATGGGAGAGAACAAAATAACACGAAATTAAATTGCTTAAAACTGTACCTTGTCACACTCTAAAAGGCTATATCCAAGCTTTCTTTGCGAAGTCCATCTTCTAACTGATTGAAAATTGTAGCCACCCTTGCCGCTAATCAACTGGTAAATAACAAATGAGAAAATAGCAAGGGTGAGAATTTAGTGCAAAATATGATGCCTTACGGAAAAAAGTAGAAGTCAGAGAACGCCCAGATTCCGAAAGACAATTATAAATGCACGTAAATATATAAAATAATGAAATGAGCCATATAATCTATTCCATACTTCAAAATTTGTCTACGGCATTGTGCGAGTGAAAGAAACATGAAGTAACAAGAAGAATCCATAATATGATCATGACAGAAATTAATTTTGGTTTAATTTCTCTGATAAAGGTTCATCAAGTGCAAGATTATGTGAGCAATGGACATCACCACATCCATATAAAACACCAAATAAGCTTCCCACTCATAATATCTGTTCATGTTGAACAACAGCAGTACCAAAATTTGTACATTTATTGACTACAACAAGATTCAACAAAAGGCAACAGAATAGGCATAATCAAATTTTAATACTGTGTAGATCTTCTGGATAAAATTCAAGTAAATATGGACGTTTGAAGTTGACTTTAAAATACTATCGATTTGAATAGTAAACTGAGGTTATGTTATTCAGAAAAGACGAGTATCAGAATAAGCTGCAGTTTTTTGTTGTTCCGAATTCGATTCTACATGGATTTGCTTGCAAATGGAAAATAAATAAGTGTATTTCCAAATATTAAGGGTAATAAGTGCAACAAGTGTTCTTACCGATGTATAGAATAGATTATAATGTATATCAAGCTAACCTATAAACGAAATGCAACACGGCTATGTTGTTGTAGCTTATGCAACAACATCCCTTAACATAATTGCTCTACAATGAATTGAAAAGAAGGTCCGAGAGCAAGGAGCAAACCTTCTTGTAAAAGAAGGTATTAAAAAAATGGCATTTCAAAAACTTCTGTGGCTCCCTTTTTTCCCTTTCTTTCAACAGTTCAAAATATAAGTTAATGACCTGCAAAACAAAGCAAAGTAATGAACCCAAATCATACCATAACCTTCCAATAACAACTTCAGCATAAGATTTTCTAAACTTCATTACACATATGAAGAGAAAATCACCTCATCATTAAGCCATGCTCTAGGCTTCAAACATTGTAATTTTTCTCCGACAATATCAATATTTGAACTCTGATGAGTCACCAATACTTTTCTCCTGTAACAACAAGATGCATGATGAATAAGTGGAACATAAACATACAGTTTAATCTAAGAGAAATTACTAAAATACCTATTGGAATTGGACAATGCAGAATTAACTTTTTTCGCGTCCTCCTCAGTAAGTGGCACAAAACATTCTTCGGCTACATTCTGCAAACAAATGAAACCCCGTTATCATAAAATAAATAGGTCGTATAACTTCAAGTTAAATTTCAGGTAGTATAAAAGTGTGACCTTCTTGATATTCTCTTCTTTCTCTTGAGGCCGAAATAAATCAAACCAACGACGGCGCTTATGATTGACTTCTATGTCAAAACTTAGACTAGCAAGCCTAATGTCTCTTTTCTTTGAGCCATCAAGCAACCTCTTATAGTAAGGCACCCCTGAATCAACCTCTACCTGGTCGAACTGCATTAACCCGTTCTTCTCCTCATCGTCTACCTTTGCAATTCCACTTACATCTGTAACCACAGAAGAATCAAAAGACCGCAGTTCTTTCTCCACTGTCCTAACATTTGGTTCACGTAATTTCTCAACACCCCTACGTCCTCCCCTCGACTTACTCCCATTGTAATCCTCCACAATCTCCGCTTCGTCAACGCCCGAATCATCAGAGACATTATCCTGTTTATCGTCCTCACTGTCAATTTCAATCACCTCCTTTCCCTTTTGTTTCCCATGAGACACGTACCTTAAACTGCCCACTGCTGCATCCTTAGCTTTCTTGAATTTCCGTAAAAGAAAATGAAAACCAAATCTCCCCATTTTATCAGATGGGCTTTCCTCAGAACTAGCAGCAGTTTCAGTATTCTTAGCAGAAGAAGAAAATTTTCCAAACCTCGAATTCCTTACTGGGGCGTGAACTTCTCTCCCAAACCCTGATTTCCTCTCCGGGTACTGAGAAATTCTCGCGACAACAGAATTCGACGACGCGGGCCGATGATGCTCCACCGTATTTTGATTTTGATTCTGATTCGTGAAAATCGATAGCTTCGGTTTTTTGGCAATGTTACCGTACGACTGGTCGATTGGAGGACCAAGGGATTTGTAGTAATCGTCCCTTCGCTTCCTATTGTTAGTGAAAGCACCCATGGCTGAACCGGCCAATTGAGGCCGAAACCCTAGCTGAGAGGGCGTTGATTCATCCAAAAGCTCGCATTTTTTTTTTCTGCCGCAAAAATCCACGTGGCCTCGCGAAAAAAGGATGAAATTAATCGGGAAATTTGCTGCAATTAAACACAGCCTAGGGTTTTACCGATTTCAAAATCACTGTTGCATTCGAACAAGCGCTACGATTTGGACGAAGATGAAGATGAAAATGAAGACGGAAAAATGAAGGGATTCGAAATTCGGATTTCACAAATATTTAAGGATGCTGTTTTATTAATGTTATGGAATTTCTTTTTTATTTTAAAGCGAATTAATTTTAAAATAAATATTATTTTTGTTAATTACTATTTTGAATAAATTAAATAAAGTGAAAAAGGGTACTTTTGAAATTTTGATTTTGTGTAGAGCAGCACTACTTGTTTTAATACTATGTAGTGCTAAATGCTAAGAACCTCAACCCTATTATTATTATTATTTGGGTAAATTACAAACACCCCCCTGAGGTATGGTCAAATTACAAAAACACCCCTCTTGTTTGGATAATTACAACCACCCCCTCAACTCCTCAAATTTAGTGGAATCTTCGAGATTATATGGAATATTATCACTTGTGTACCCGTTTTATCCCATTCAAACTCTACATTATGGAGCAAGATGATCATAATATGTGATTTTTAGCTTGTATATATCAGTTTGTGGTGCATCGAAAACTGTATTTTTACACAAAACGAGTACAAATTAGAGCACATTCCACGGAATCTAAATGATTATGTTGAATTTGGCACAATAAGGGTGGAGGTGTAAGAAAAAATCATAGTTGAGGGGGGTAGATGTAATTATCCAAACAAGAGGGGGATTTTTGTAATTTGACCATACCTCAGGGGGTGTTTGTAATTTACCCTTATTATTTTTCATAAACTAATAAAACAATAATCTATATAATATATAAAAGTTGAATTGCATGCCTAATTGATTGACATTTGTCAATTTCAAATGATGACATGTCCTTAATTTCATCCAATGTGGCAAATTGATTGGTGAAAATAAATCATCAAAAAACATGTCACTATTTTCCAAAATTAAAAAGATATTAATTATTTAATTATATTTTTATATCATACCATTTATAAAATACTTTAAATATATCAACTTTATTGGAAAACTCTAAATAGTTTTATTTTTTAATTTAATTTCAATAGTAATTAATTTAATTTAAATTCAATTTAAAATCTTAACGTATTATAATTGTATGATTGACGGTGTTACGAAAATTGTGTATTTTAATTCATAAACTTGGATTTATATAAACAAAATATTGCAGAATAAATCATTTGATATTATACATTATACATGAACATGACCAGAGAATGTGTATCGTAAAAATTTCCCTGATGGTTGCTTCCATCTTACATCGACTCCCTTACGGTGTGATTTTTCACGGAATTTTTTTTTATTACGTGGAATATTCACCGAAAATGCAGATTCTACCTTGCACACGATATTTGTTTATGGTACTTTTCAAAGACAAAAATTACCGTAAGGGGCACTTTACACGAAATATTTTTTCTTCTTAAAATCTTCACAACTTTTTAGTATTACTATTACCTCCCCTAAAGGTATTTTTTGTATTTAAAAAGTAAGATAAAAGAAATGTCACGTCTGCAAGGGTAGAATCCACATATTACATGGAATAAAAAAAGATTCCGTAAAAAATCACACCATAAGGGGGTCGTGTAAGACATAAACAAACATCTGGGGGATTTTGGTAATTACCGATAAATAGGGGTGTTTTCCGTAATTTAGCCTAAGTTCATGAGGATTTTCATAATTTATCCTATTAACAACGATTATCGTTCTTTTCACTTCTTAATGTTTGCTTATACCCTTACATTATTTCAAATAATTTTAATGTCAGTTTGATAATATAATTAAATATTAATTTCTAATATATTTAATATGTGTTTCTTGATGTATCAGGTACCACACATAAGGAATTTGATATAAAAGTTGCGACATTGAATATAATTGTTTATTATACAAAATAATAGATCATTGCAAAAACATTGATGCAAAATCAAAATTAGGATTGTGATTAGTATTAGCATTAGAATTACGATTATAATTAATATTCTTTGAATTAGTATTGGTATTAATACTATGATTAGGATTCGGATTAATATAGTATTATAATTAATATTAGGATTAGGATTATGATTATGATTAAGATTAGTATTAGAATTATAATTAAGATTATGATTATTGATTAGTACTACAATTAGAGACATGTATTAGTATTATGATTATGATTAGCATTAGGATTAGGATTATGGTTAGAATTATAATTATAATTGTAATTAGAATTAACATTAGCATTAGCATTAGTATTATCAGTAGTAAAATTATTAGGATTATAATTAATGTTAGAAATAGGTTTAGGATTAGAATTATGATTAGGATTATAATCATGGTTAATGTTATATATGAATATGATTGGGAATAGGATAAGGATTTGGATAATATTAGTATTACACTTATAATCAACATAAGCATATCCAGATTAACATTAACATTAAAATTAGTATTAGAATTAGAATATGTACATTAGCATCAACATTAACAATATTAACATATTAGTATAAGAAATGGTATTAATATCAGTATTAATATTAGTATTAATATTAGTATTAGTAATAATATTAGTAATAGTATTAGTATTAATATTAGTCTTAATATTAGTGTTAATATTAGTTTTAGTATTAGTATTAATATTAGTATTAATATTAATATTAATATTAGTCTAAATATCAATATCGGTATCAATATCAGTATCGGTATAATTATCGATATCGACATTATTATCGGCATCAGTATCGGTATGGGTATCGGTATCAGTATCAGTATCAATATCAATATCAATATCAATATCAATATCAATATCATATCTGTATCAGTACCAATATCAGTTTCAGTTTCAGTATTTGTATCCGTATTAGTATTAGTATTAGTATCAGTATCAATATCAACATTTGTATCAATATCAGTATCAGTATGAGTATGCGTATCAGTATCAATATCAATATCATTATCAGTATCGATATTAGTACCACTATTAGTATCAATATTAGTACCAATATCAACATCAACATTAATATCAGTATTAGTATGAGTATCAGTATGATTGTTAGTACTTGTATGAGCATGAGTATCAATATTAGTATGAGTATCAGTATTGTACGACGAGTATCAATATGAGTATCAATATTAGTATTAGTATTACTATTAGTATCACTATGAGTATCGGTATTAATATCAGTATCAATATTGATATCAGTATTAGTATTAGTATTAGTATTAATATTAATATTGCTATGAGTATCAGTATTAGTGTAAGTATCAGTATTAATATTAGTATTAATATAATATTACTATGAGTATCAGTATGAGTATAGTATTAGTATCAGTATCATAATTATTATTGTTATTAGTATCAGTATTAGTCTTAGTATTAATTAGTATTAGTATTACTATTAGTATTAATATTAGTATCAATATCACTATTAGTATCACTATAAGTATCAATATTATTATTAGTTTTAGTCTCAATATTAGTCTTATTCTTAGTATTAGTATTAGTATTAGTATCAATATAACTATCATTATCAATGAAAGTATCGGTGTTATTATCAGTATTAGTATCAATATTAGTATTATTCTTAGTATTAGTATTAGTATCAATATGAATATTAGTATTAGTACGTATTAGTATTATTATTAGTATTGGTATGAGTATGAGTATTAGTATTAATATTAGTATTAGTAACAGTCAAGGTTCTAAAAGGCGGTTATCGGGTACGTGGCGGTTAGGGACCGCCACACGATAAATCGGCGCGGCGGTGATTTATCGGAGATAAATCGGAAATATATCGGTTTTTAAATTTAGTGTAATATATTTCTAAATATTATTTGTAAATACTCAAAATATATATAAAAAAATATTTAAACATAATTCTATCCTATCATTCATATGTTATTATATAATTCTAATTACTCAATAAATAAACAAAAAATTTAAAAACAATAAGATCATAATATAATAAAAGATTCTTACGAAATACAAATACCATGCAAGTCTTTCGCATCAACAATTAATATAAACACAACAAAGCATAAATTGCGGGGTAGTACTTGGTTTGGTTTTAGAAGTTGAAAGAATTGGAGAAAAACAAAAAATCAAAACAAATTTTCATTTTAATTTAAATTTAAAAAAAAAAAAAAAAAAAACCGATTTGTTGACCGATATATCGGTTTGACCCGCCAAAAAACCGCCGCAAACCGCCTCGCCGTAAAAAACCGATATTCCAAACCGCCTCAACAAAATCGTAAAGGTTTATAACCGATACCGATATGGCGGCCGATATATCGACCGCCACGACCGATATTTAGAACACTGGTATCAGTATTAGTATTAATATTAGTATTAGTATTAATATTAGTATTAGTATTAGTATTAGTATCAGTATCACTATAATTATCATTGTAAGTATCAATATTATTATTAGTATTAGTATCAATATTAGTTTTATTCTTAGTATTAGTATTAGTATCAAAATGAATATTAGTGTTAGTATTAGTTTTATTATTAGTATTAATATTTGTATTGGTAAGAGTATGAGTATTAGTATTAGTATCAGTATTATTATTAGTATTAGTATTACTATTAGTATCACAATTAGTATCAATATTTGTGTTAGTATCATTATTAGTATCGGTATTAATATTATATTAATATCAGTATTAGTATTAGTGTTAGTATTGGTATTAGTATTAATATTAGTATTAGTATTAGTATTAGTATTAGTATTAGTATTAGTATTAGTATTAGTATTAATATTAGTATTAGTATTAGTATTAGTATTAGTACCAGTATTTGTACCAATATTAGTATTAGTATCACTATTAGTATTAACATTAGTATTAGTATTAGTATTAGTATTAATATTAGTGTTAGTATTAGTATTAGAATTAGTATTAGTATTAATATTAGTATTAGTATTAGTATTAGTATTAGTATTAATGTTATTAGTATTAATATTAATATTAGTATGAGTATGAGTATCAGTATTAATTGAATTAGTATCACTATTGGTAACAATATTGGTATCAGTATTGATATCGGTATTGGTATCAACATTGGTACCAGTACTGATAGTGGCATATACATCATATCTCTTTTGCTATATTTATAAGTTTTATTGTTGTTTGAGTAATGTGCATCACTAATTGAACGCCATTAGTCATAAACTTGCAAATTATTTGAATATCTATTGTGTTACTTCTCTGCTACCGTGTTGTTACCTTAGTTATTTTGCAGAAGATTCACATGTTGTAGTAGATTGCAATCCAAAAAATAGAGTTATACCATATGTTTTAAATGATTTCACTTAATCTTGATATCGTGTTTTGCGCGCTTCATGCTTTCTTATTTGTAATATATAACTTAATTTTATATGTTACAACTCTAAATTAAGAGATAAAGTTTGTTTTTTTATTTCCTTCCATTTTGTTTTCCTTGAATTGGTATTGTTATAAAGAGATAGTCGTTTACATAACTTTATTTTTTTTATTGTGAAACTGACCTCCGTGCAACGCACGGGTGAAATACTAGTTTAAAGAGTGAAAAAAGTATTTATAATTAAAATAAAATTAATATCATGCCAACGGTTTTTTAATTCGATTACGACGATCAATGAATTTGTATACAATAAAAGTTAATATCGCTTTGCCAGCAGTTTTTTTTTTTGAACTCGTCGTAAATCCTTGATCAAAATCTTGTTGCACTTCGATCGATTTCATAATTGGGACATGGTTTACATGTATTTAGACACGTCGCAAATTCAAATATCTTCATCGGTAGATAATTAATTGTATCTTTTTTCATTTAGGCAGAGAAATAATATTTCCGATTTCTAGGATTGGGTTGATATCACAGCTTTCATTGTAAATAATTCTTATACAACAACGACAATTAAGAAATTATTGGTAAAATATAAAATTAATTTAATTTAAAACAATTATAACTTCAAAGTCCAAATTCAATATAAAATAAAATTTAAAATCAAAACTAAATTAATAAAACTACTTCTAATATAGAGCCCAACACAATACAACCCGATCCAGCCCATTTTATTTTTTCCAGCAACCCAATCCATTTAAACATATTTACAAATACATTATTTAAACATATAATAATAATAAAAAAATTATCTAGCATGCAAAATGACTAAAATACCCTTACAAGATCATACAAACGGAATCATACCGTAACATGAACAAGCCTCACAGTACCATTTTGAGCAACTAAAGACAAATAAACGAGAAAGAACAAAAGAATGTCGAATTTTTCGATGCCAACTGTAACATGCAATAAACACGATACACGTTTCTTTACTGTTTCAACGCCGTTTTCGATGTCAAACGAACACCAAAGATTGTTCGTCATTTCTATGTAAAACACTAAGTTACTATACGGCGTAAAGAGTGTGTTTTATATATATATACACAAGTTCTGTGATCCTAACAGCAGAACTGCACTAAATCTTTAAAAAAAAATAGAACCGGCAATTTACAGAAGTAATTCAAATTCAAAGTTTAGATCCGATACGAATATTGCGTGTTTTAGGAATACCTTAGAAAAGGAATATTAGATAAGCTGTACAACAGCAGCAACTCTGAGTGCACCGTTTTGGAGAAGATCTCCTAGCTCGTTGAACAACAGTGCTGTTCGCCAACCCCATCCCTTTGGAGCTTTCGGTAGAAGTGTTCCTGTTTGCTTGTAGCTTCCGAAAACCATAACTTCTCTCTTCGATGGACATATTAACTGATTGTTCGTACATTCAAACAATTAGTTCAAGACGGATCGTTACTTTCTTAAAAATAAAGTATATTAGCTCAGTATATTCACCTGATATCTAGCAGTGACCTTTTCCCGTGAATCGACGTACATATGGACCTGAGATCATGGTAGGCAGCAAAACAAGAATGAATTAAATTGCATTTAGATACAATGGGTTGAAGTTATTTTGAGAACAAAGAACAAGAAAAAATTATAGTTCAATTTCTTTCGGTGAACTTGCTAACTTGGGGTTATAGATTGAGCAAATGCAAAGCATCACGTTACGGTTAAGAGTGGGTTGGACAAAGCTTTTTTAATATAAAAATATCTTGGTTTTTGTTAATATTACAATGAGTAAATAGTGTTGCATCATTTTACCACAAAGAATTCTCATCGTCGTAAGATGTGTGATTGCCCCTTATATGAGATGCAAAACACCTTTCAAGGTTGTGTTTGCAGCCCAAAGTGCATTAAGGGGAAAAAAAAACCGATCCAAAGTACCTTTCTGAGTGGATCATAGATCTCTGCCTTCCGCCGATGAAGAAACAGACCTGAATGAAGATGATAAACAAAGGAAAAACAATAAAAAATTCGGTTATCTTTCAAAGAGATATTTAGTCTGGCAACGGTTTAGGAAGAATACCAAGGGTACGCCGTCCTTGAGGATCTTCGTCACTAAAAGCCTGAACACTTATCTTGAGATCAAAGAGACCAATAAAATAAAACTTTTAAATATCAATTAAAAGAAAATGTAGAACAGGGAGCAATATCAACAGAATCAATAGAAAGAAAATAAACTGTTATCTGTTTCATACCTTCCACAAGGAACCTGCATAAAATGCTTCAGGAGAGTGCTTAACTTGGCCATCGACGAGTCTATGAACATCCTGAAATTCAACCCTGCAAAAATCAGAAGACGGTGATCAGAAACTACTCAAAGGATTCAAGAAGCTAACTACTGGATTTTGACATCTTCCGGAAGTTCTTCATTAACTAAAATAAGTCAAACATAGACGATACAAAAAATAATCTGGTGTAATGAGTAGGTCTCATCATCCCAAATGGGAGGTGTAAGCGAAAGGCAGGCTTCTTAGATAATTCACACGTGCAGTCATTGTTAAATGAGCAACTTCTAAAGCAAGAACCCAACGACTATGTAAGAAGAAAGTATGCTTACGCAAAGCGAAAAGGCGGGAAATGAGTCAAAGGTGTCTTCAGATCCAATGATATAGCACTACTCGTATTCTCCCACTCAATTCCCGCAGCATGCTCAGGTGACTCAGTCATTTGCACGGGAACACCACTGGTACTTGATCCAGGGTTTACGGATCCTGTCTCGTATTCCCTTCCCATTTGCACCTCATGCACATGAGTGACGTCACTTGACCCTTGACTAAGCCCAACCAAAGCTGTCAACCCATCCACAGCAAGTTCCCCATTGTTGTCACCTCTGTTTTCTGGATCATCGTTAGCATGAGGTTGCTGGTTGCTTCGGTTGCCAATACCAAATGGAACTCGAGAAAACACATAACGAGTTGGAGGCCAAGCGGCTGCAGGTACAAATGTAGTTCCCCTTCCAATGCCGGCTAGCCCATCGATATGGCCCCTGTCATGTACACGAACTGGCCTGAAGATGCCGTTTCTTTCTCCTTGAGCGGAACTATTGATATAGACATGCCCTATGTCGTTGGGGGGTAAATTATTATGGTCATTATCTTGCACGTAGTATCCAGGTGCTGTTACTCCAGGCGAGTACCCAAATGGCTGTCTGCAGGCACATGCCATACTCATGCGGCAGCAGTTTTTGCACGTATCAGCACCAATTTCTTGTAACCTCTGGCTTAAAAGCATCTACGACATGCAGATAATGAAGAGATAAATGAATGAGATCTGTGCCTAATATATGAACAGTATCGAAAAAATTAATCATCCGCACATTCAAAATGGATCTTTAAATTGCACAGATACTCAAAGCATCAATTCATTAAATTTCGGGTTTTCTTGTTCACCAAAAAGAAAGGTCGCCCATATGTTGGGCATTTCAGTTCCTCTAAAGATGAAAACTATCGAAGCACAAGAAATCAGTAATATACCTGCAACCACAAACCATCGTTCACTGCTTTGCAAGGAAAGCCCATTTCTTCAAGATGCTTTCTTACATTTAAGAGTGCCTCAAAAGACATGTTACAATACAAAAGAGACCCCCCTTCAAAAATGTTGACAAAAGAATCATGATCTTCTATGCTCATCCCACATTGCGCTTTTAGACAAGTTTTTACCTCTCTTCTGCCCACAATCCTACCACCCCAAGTCAGAGATGACATGTTGCATCTTTCCCATTCATTGGGTATCATCACATTACAGGAGGAGTTCATTGACATGCAGTGCATTTGATCTCCTGAAGGCCAACTGCTGTTCAATTGGTAGCATGAATCTTCATCCGACGGCCCTTCCAAGGCCAAAACATTGCCTGCTGATCCACTCATTCCAACAGCATTATGTATATTTAGATAAGAACAAGAAGGAATAATGCCATCTGAGTAAAATGTGTTACTTGCTGAAGGTCGTTCATCGTAGCAATCGTATCTTGAATCCAAATTAGATCCACTGTGTGCCGTTTGGGCTTGATCGACGTTGTCAACATCAGAATGGGAATCCACAACTGAGTCTGCAAGCTCAACCAAAATATTACGAGCAGTATTGCGGCCTTCAATTTCATCTTTTGGTTTTGTGCACCCTCGTTCGATTTCCGGCAAGTTATTTCCGCTTTCATCAGCCAAATGTTTCCTGATTACTCTGGAAGAGTCAGGATAGGTACTGGCTTCAACCTCACAACTTGGAGTGCGCTGCTCATGATGTTCTGCCTTGCAAAGTGTACCTTTTGCAAGAAGAGTGTGCAGCGCCAGTTCAAACCTTCCCCGATAATAACAACAAATTAGACAGTATTCAGTGTTAAGAAATAACTTTTACTATAAAAATATAATGAGGTTTTCCTCACCGTTTCTCTTCACTGGGCACCCATAATTCATCTGAGGTGAGTAAAGCGAGTAATGTTTGAGAGGAAAGTTTTGGAAGCACCTGATTTACTCAGAGGGTTAGATGAAACTCATCATAATTTTAAAAAGGAAAAGAAAAAACAAACTATTCTATTCACCAATCAGAGGCTAACAGAAAAAAAATTCATAGCCATAGGACCACATGAGCAGAAGATTGAAATATGTACCTCTCTCAATTCCTGGGCACCACTTTGACAGAGGTATCCCCAACAAGCATTTCTTACACGTTCCCCGTGTATGCCATAATCTTGGTTCTCAGCAAAGACCTACAATGACGCGAATGTCATTCCATATTGAATGGCTGATATCCAAATGAGTGATTGTTATCATAAATCATGAAACCTGATAAGTTAAGAAGTTTGACGACCATAATTCAGCAACAATGAAGTCTGTGCAAATCGCACATAAATCCTGCACGTAACAATTCCAAATATGTAAAGGTATGCAGAGAGATCGAATTTATAATCAAGGGAGCAGTAAGCAAAAAAGATTAATGCTTATTAAGCAGGCGGAAATTAAAAGAGAAGCAGCGCCTAACCTGAAGGTCAAGAAAAGATGCAGCAGCTAGAACTCGAAATGCATTAGTGTCGTTAAGCTTTGGATGATGTCCATATAGATATGCCAAAGCTATTTCCATTGCTTCAGCATTTACATTTTTGTCATCAACGTGCAATGTCAAAACTGGAGCATTAGCTTCTTTCCACGGGCCCTGAAGCATGTTCCTGCAACCACATTATAGGTGAATGTAAGCCCCTGCTATTTGAAAATTACAGAACAACGGGGGGGGCTGCAGTGGTACATACGAGAAAATACAGCCTGTCAGTTCCTTCACTTTTATAAAACATTCTAACGATTTAAAAGCCCAACAACTAACTTCTACCATTACCAAACCATGTCATCTTAACAAACTCATTGCTTCTTTTAATCTCAATGAATCCACCATGCAGATATATTCAAGGCAATGTTGCCGTGTACACCAGTACACCATAGGCATCGAGGGCATGCACTAATGAATATATCTATTCAACCTTCCTTCCAGAAGACAATTCCAAATTGGCAGCAAGTTAATTATGCTTATTGTTACTAATGGTCCTCTTTCTCATTCAAGTTTCCATTGAGCGTTCAACATCACTGTTCTTCACTTAAGCAATCACTTAGTGGGCGATAACGAAAAAGACTCGTGTTTCCTACAATGTGTTCGATTATTTTCTTAATTACGAAGAAGCACTGCTCACTCAATAGAAAGGTTCAGCCTGCAAAACAAGACAACCTGACAAAGCTAACGGACTTTCTTCGTTTTAGTTTTTGCATAATCAACTACCAGCCAACAAGTTAACTGAAACAAAAAAAATCAGTAGAGGATACATAGATTTGAACATCATAAAAATCATCAAAAAATGTTAGTAAATTTTCATTCAACCCAGCAACAAGCAATTGCAAATGCTTCAAAGGGGAAATCTCAGCTGTATCATAATGCAAAATAATTCAATAATCTTTACCTAATAATCTGAATACACACACACACACACACACACACACACACACACACGCAGACATACCGGAAGTAAGAGCTCCGGGAGAGTACGAGGCGGTGGAGGTAATAAGTGGACCCCATGGCGTTCAAAACGACATCGGAGAACAGACCATTATTAAACCCTTCCAATTGAATGTGATCGCAAAGTGACGCGAGGTTGCAATCGACGGCGGCGCGGCGCATCTCGCCACCTCCGCGCCTCTCACCCGCGGCACCGCCGTCACTATTGTCCGAATTCGAGGGCTCTTTCGTCATTTCCACCGGTCCGCCACCCTCCCCGCGGTGGCTGTGGTGGCTGTATCGTCTGATAGGGTACTGCTGCGGCTGCGATGGCAACAGCTGATGTTGTGGAGGTTCCATGGCGTATACATACAGCGAATGTGTATGCATAGGTGGGAATCTCAAATTGGGAATTTCGGAAATGGCCGACGCGCCGCGAGTGGGGAATTGCTGCCGAGAATAGTGGGAACTGGATACTCTCGGGAAAGGTGTGGAGAAAAAATTCGAAATTGCTAATAAGTCCCTGAACTTGTATTGAATATTTAATAATAGCCTCTTATTTCTGATTTAATTATTTTTCATCCCAAACGCAACAACATTAATCTATCAAAACGGTGTCGCTCTTTTTCCTGCAAAACCCCTCCTCCGCCTTTCACCCGCCCATCTCCGGCGTTCAAGAATGAGGGCACTCTTCATAAACCCAGGTGAATTCTTAAAAAAAGATTCAATTTTTAATTTATTTTTTACCTAATTCGTGCTACTATGTATATATACATATATGTATATTCATTATGCTTCAATGAATTGCTGCAGGATTGAAAATTAAGCTTGAGCTGAAACCCTTAATCCTCTGTAACTTATGTAAAAGGTTTTCAATTTCTAATGATGGAGGACCCTCTAATGAAGGAAGGTGGAGGGTTCCTCAAATTAATGTTAAAGAAGGTCAAAATTCTAGAAAACACGAAATCATCAAACAAGAAGTCGAAAACGTGTGTCGAATTTTAGAAACCGGTCCATGGGGACCTACATTAGAGAAGGCTCTGTCTTCGTGCAGCGAAAAACCTCACTCGGAATTAATTACCGGAGTATTGCGGAGAATCAAGAACGTCGAGTTAGCTGTTAGTTACTTCAGATGGGCTGAGAGGGCATCCAATCAAGTGAATTCTCAAGAAACGTACAATTCGCTTCTCTTGTTAATGGCTAGGTGTAACAGGTTCGATCGAATCGAACATATTTTGGAAGAAATGAGTCTGGCTGGATTCGGTCCGACTTTTGAGACGAGTTTGGAGTTGGTTTCAACTTCTGTAAGATCTCAAAGATTGAGAGAGGCGTTCGATCTTATACAAACAATGAGAAAATTCAAGATTCGCCCCGCGTTTTCTGCATACACGACCCTAATAGGTGCGTTGGCTGGGGCCCACAAACCCGAGCACCCTCACCTCATGCTTACACTCTTCCAACAAATGCAGGAATTAGGGTACGAAGTTACGGTGCATTTATTCACAACCCTAATTCGTGTGTTCGCTCGCGATGGACATGTCGATGCTGCTCTTTCATTGTTAGATGAGATGAAAAGCAATTCTTTCGATGCGGATATTGTTTTGTATAATGTGTGTATAGATTGCTTCGGTAAAGTCGGGAAAGTCGACATGGCGTGGAAATTCTTCCACGAGATAAAAACCCACGGTCTGAAACCGGACGATGTTTCTTACACGAGCATGTTGGGTGTTCTATGCAAAGCTGGCAAAATGGACGAGGCTATTGAATTATTCGAACAAATGGAGATAAATAAAGCAGTTCCTTGTGCTTATGCTTACAATACGATGATTATGGGATATGGTAATGCTGGAAGATTCGACGAAGCGTATGGTTTGCTCGAGAGGCAAAGATTGAAAGGCTCAATACCATCTGTCATTGCTTATAACAGTCTTCTTACATGTTTAGGTAAGAAAGGCAAAGTCGAAGAAGCCTTGAAGATTTTCAACGAGATGAAAAAAGACGCAATGCCTAATTTGCCCACGTATAATATCCTAGTGGATATGCTCTCGAGAGCTGGAAAACTCGATTCAGCTTTGGAAATACAGAGAGATATGAAGGAGAGTGGGTTAGTTCCGAATGTGATGACTGTTAATATAATGATTGATCGGTTATGCAAGGCGAATAAAGTTGAAGAAGCTTGCTCTGTTTTTCGTAGCATGGATCGTAAAATTTGTGGGCCGAATAAATTTACGTTTTGTTCGTTGATCGATGGATTGGGTAGGCATGGTAGAGTAGATGATGCTTATAAATTATACGAGGAAATGCTGGATTGTAACGAAACACCAGATGCTATTGTATTCACTTCGCTTATACGGAGCTTTTTCCGGGCGGGTCGAAAAGAAGACGGGCATAAAATTTACAAGGAAATGACCCGTAAAGGAGCTTCACCGGATCTTACACTCCTTAATACGTACATGGACTGTGTGTTCAAAGCAGGGGAAACTGAAAAGGGTAGAGCTTTGTTCGAGGAGATAAAAGACCGTTTTACCCCCGATGCAAGAAGCTACTCAATTCTTATCCACGGACTTATAAAAGCCGGTTTTGCTCGTGAGACTCACGAGCTATTTTACGCTATGAAAGAACAAGGGTGTGTTCTTGATACACTTGCGTATAACACCGTTATCGATGGGTTTTGCAAATCGGGGAAAGTGAATAAAGCTTATCAATTATTGGAGGAAATGAAGTCAAAGGGTCATCAACCAACTGTAGTTACGTACGGTTCGGTAATTGACGGTCTCGCTAAAATCGATAGGCTGGACGAAGCTTATATGCTTTTCGAAGAAGCAAAATCTGTAAATGTGGAATTAAACGTGGTTGTGTACAGCAGTCTTGTGGATGGATTCGGGAAAGTTGGTAGAATAGACGAAGCGTATTTAATAATCGAGGAAATGATGCAGAATAAATTAAATCCGAATATCCAAACGTGGAATTGCTTACTCGACGCACTTGTGAAGGCAGAGGAAATAGACGAAGCGCTCGTTTGTTGGAACTCTATAAAAGAATTGAAATGTATACCGAACATTATAAGTTATAGTATAATAATAAACGGGCTTTGTAGGGTTCGGAAATTCAATAAGGCGTTTGTGTTTTGGCAAGAAATGCAGAAACAGGGGATGAAGCCGAACGGGATCACGTATTTGACCATGATTTCTGGTCTGGCGAAAGCTGGCAATATTTACGAGGCGGATAAGTTATTCGAGCGGTTTAAATTGAACGGGGGTGTGCCCGATTCTGCGTGCTATAATACTATGATTGAAGGTCTGAGTGTGGCGAATAAGGCGAGCGACGCGTATAGGCTTTTTGAAGAAACGAGGCTGAAGGGTTGTTGTATATATACCAAGACTTGTGTGGTGCTTTTGGATGCGCTGCATAAAGCAGAGTGTCTTGAGCAGGCTGCCGTTGTGGGCGCTGTGTTGAGGGAGGCGGCTAAATCGCAGCACGCTTCGAGGGCGTTTTAGTAATTTGGAGGGTCTTGGTGATTAATCGGACAGCCAATTTTGGGATTTTGATAGCAAATTCGGCTTCAGAGGTAAGATTTAAACATTTAACATTGAATCTGTGCTTGAAAAAGAAACTCTTGTTAATTTATTGCGGATAATTTCATTTTTTTCGTGCAGTTGTTGTACTAATTGGGGTTTGACGAGAGTTGCTGACCATGGTAGAAAATTTTTGATGAAGAAATTTGGGAGGTGCTACGCCGATATACGCTTTGTGTATATTTTTGCAGATGCTACACGTATCCACATGTGTGTGTGTGTGATTGTGTGCAAATGTACGGCGGGATGGGGTCGAGTGTGCTTCGTAGAGTGTATCAGCATCTATAAGAGCCGTACGAGGAATCTTTTTTTTTTCAGAAGAGTTGTATCATTTGGCTAGCCAGCAAAACACACACACAAACACACTTTAGATTGTCTTTTTCTTTTTTAATGGATTCACTGTATTTTATGTACTTGTAAAGTGATTCAAGATGATGTTTTTCTTCCTCTTTGAAATAATATCTTGATCTGGTTTGGTTAAATTAGTGGAAGATTACGTGGAATATTCTCCAGTTCGTACTTGTTTTACTCCATTCGAACTCCATATTTTAAAACAAGATGATCATACGATGTGTTTGTTAACTTGTAAATATCAGATTGTGATGCATCAAAAATTGTATTTTTGCACAAAACGAGTACAAACTAGAGAAAATTCCACAAAATCTAGAAGATTATGTTGAATTTGACGCTATAAAGGTGGATGTGTAAGAAAATTCATAGTTGAGGGGTCGTTGTAATTAGCCAAACATGAGGGGAGGTTTTCAACATTTGACCTTACCTCAGGGTGGCCGTAATTTAACCAAAAAAATTATAATTGCACGTAAGAATAGATACATCTATATATAAAAATAAAATCATTATATGCAAACCTAATTAAATGGTGCCACGGAACATTTGAAATTCAAAAAGAGGACTTCCAGGGGTCCTAGCCCATTTCATAAATTACAGGAGCTGAATGTCCATTTCACAAATTGAGGGGAGAAAAGAATATAACCGTTGTGGAAAATCATTTCAACTTTTCCTCAAAAATTCAAATTCACAAATGACCGTTGAACCCTATCTTTTTCACTTTCCTTCTTCTTGATTCCATTTTACAACCCTACCATCCATCTTATATCAATCCTCAACAAACCCTATTCTCTCTCTCAAACAAATTATCTCTTTCTCTCTCTAGAGTTTTGAATTCTTGAATTAAGTTGTGTGCGAGAAAAATGGCATTGAGATCTCTTGATAACGCACTGCCGATGACGCCCGAAAGACCGAAGAAGCAAGCAAAGATTGTAATCTCAGCTAAGAAAGAGAAGCAGCTGTCTGATTTTGGTGTCAATGATGAAAACATAGCCCCTGTTCCACCACCATCAACGGAGGCCTCTATCGATTACATTTCCTCTGAAAATCTCGAAGAATTCCAAGACCCAGAGGCTAAAATTCAGGTATTGTTTTTCGGGTTTACTCGAAATTCTATCTTGTTTTGTAAATCTATGAATTTTCTTGTTTTTTTTTTTTGAGATAAAAATGCAATCTTTAATTTCAGGGTCTTGTTGGAGGTTTGGAGTCAAAAGATTGGTTGAAGGTATGCGAATCGCTGAACGACACTAGGCGGTTCGCTATCTATCACTCCAATCTCTTGCTGCCGATTTTGTAAGTTTCATCTCTCTCTCTCTCTCTCTCTCTCTCTCTCTCTCTCTCTCTCTCTCTCTCTCTCTCTCTCTCTCTCTCTCTCTCTCTCTCTCTCTCTTCTCTCTCTCTCTCTCATGTTGATAAAAATGGTGTGATGAATGTAGGGAAAAGGTGGTGTTAGTGATGGTGAAGTCGATCAAGAATCCGAGAAGTGCATTGTGCAAAACCTCAATCATGGCTTCTTCCGATATATTCAAGGCATTTGGTGTCGAATTAATCGAGTCCAATTCCGATGCTCTCAGCCAATTGGTAATAAAATCATCCCATGTTCTTCAATAGTGACCAAATCCTTAAACAAACTTGTTTTTATTTTATTTATTTATTACAGCTGTTGCAACTGTTACTAAAATCTTCACAAGACAAGAAATTTGTATGTGAAGAAGCGGACAAGGCATTGTCGATAATGGTGGAGTCGATGGCCCCTCTTCCTTTGCTCTGTAAACTCAGTGCATACGTTGGCCACTCGAACCTCAGAATCAGAGCAAAAGCCGCAGTTTCTTTCGCTAATTGCGTCTCTAAGATGGTACGTTCGAACAACAACTTCACAACTCTTGATTTTCTTTTTTGTTTTTATTAATGATTAAACTTTTAAATGTGCGATATTGTTTATAGGATCTGAAAGGCATGGAAGAATTCGGGTTGGCTTCGTTGATAAAAATGGCGGCAAATTTGAGAAACGACAAACTTCCCGAGGCGAGAGAGGCAGCTAAACGTATTGTGGTTTCGATGTATGAAGCAATTACGGAGAACGAAGAAGAGAAAGCGGAGTTTTGGCAAAGCTTTTGCCAGTCGAATCTGCCAGCAATTCATGCACAAGCTATGGTTAAACTTGTTTCTTCTTGAAATTTGATGTAGAAACCATGGGGTGTATTTCGTAATTTAGCCTAAGTTCAGGGATTTTTTCATAATTTACCCTTATCTTTTTTTTTTTTGTTATTTTTGAGTGGATTTGAATTGGTAATGCAATGTTCAAAGTTATTCCTTAAATTGCAATAATTTGTTGGGGAAGAAACAAATTAATTGTTATAGAGCACACACTACAATACAAGAATAAAGAATAAATACCACTAAAATTAATAATAAATACGAAACAAAAAACACGAAAATCTAGTTCTTTGCGCGCTTTCCACTGGTTGAAGCGTGTATCCTGATCGACGAATACGTAATAATACAGGCAGTCCTGAAATTCAGCCTTTCGTAATCATATCACGTAACGCCACCTCAGCATCGGCGAGAGGTTGCCCTGCATAAAGACGAAGCTGCCCTTTCTTCACGACAAGCACACTCGCCGCACGTGATTTCACCGCTTCGTGTAGTTCCTAAAAAAACAAAATCGAGCTTTTTCAATAACGAACCAAATCGCCTGAAGAATTACGCAAAATCATGATTAAAAGGTGCTGCTTACTTTGACTGTTAACGGAACAACATCAGCTACGAAATCTTGAAGATCTTCGAAGAAGGATTGCAGAAGATAACAGAAATTGTTGGCATCGGAACGGTCCTCAAAAGCTACAATACGAGACGTTCGATCCTCGGTTTCGGAAATGGTTTTCAATGTATAAAATCCTTCACCACCCTCGCCTTCGTAGCCCCTTCGCATAATAATAGCCTGAATCGAGAAATTAACGTAAGCTGATATGTCGATTTTGCCCCTGTAACAGACATTAAACAAATCTCGAGGAAAATTGCCTAATTTCCAAACCCCAGTTGACGTTTCGGTGATTATGGTGCGTAATTATACGAAGTTTCGAGTCGATTATTTAAAAAATGTTGCACTGAATTACGATAACGACACTCTGTCGGATATTACGTAGCCGAGGTACAAACATACTACTTTTTCAAGTAAGCAGAAATATCAATTTACGATAGAGCAGGAATGTATCAAGAACTTAAATTGAAGGGCAAACTACGGCAACCCTCCGAGGTAAGGTCAAATTACGAAAATACCCCTCATGTTTGGGTAATTACAACCACATGAAGAAAATCAGAAATGACAAAGCAGATAATTTTTGCTAGTTAGAGTAACATACGAGAACGTAGGGAAGATTTGACCACCACAATTCAGTCCCGCTTTCGCTTTTAATTGCTGATTTTCTCGTCTTCACAGCTTCAGCATTTACTTTCCTGCCATTCTTTTTCTCGGGAGCAATTCCTGCGTATTTGATGAATTAATGAGAAATACACTTGAAAAATTATATTTACGCATTTTTTCAGCTGAAAAATTCCGAATTTTGAAGAGAAACATGAACGGGAAAAGATCGGAAACAATACTGTTCAAACATCTACGTAACACCTATGTATAAAAAGGTTATAAAGGGCAATACCATCAATCACCTTTCGTTTCACCAAAACCCTTTGCCTTTCCTTGCTTGCTTATCCCCATTTCTTTTGCCACCTTCTTCCTCGTTTTCTTGGTCGATTCATTCATTTCCGAAATTAATTTCGTTTTATCCTCTTCCACTATATCAACCGCATCACTTCCCTTTGAATCAACATCCGAAATTTCTCTCTGCTTTTCTTCACCCCCTAAACCAACTGCACCGTTATCACTATCCATACTTTTAATCAACTCATCCGAATTTCCACTTTTAACCCTAGCATCATCCGAGCCCGTAAAACCCTTTGGTTTCTCTACTGGATCACCGGACGAAACTTTGAACTTATACTTCTTCTTGAATAATAACGCCCCGCTATTTTCTCTCTCATCCGACGTCGTATTTTCCTTCTTCGAATATCCAACCGATGACTTCGGCATTTTGTCGCGTGAATTTCCCAACTTCTTTCTCAACTTAACCAATCGATTATCAACCTCCAATTCTATCCCACTTTTAGCAAATGTCCCCTCATCGATTTCTTCACTCTCCTCACTATCAAAAC